GAGAGAGAGAGAGATTGAGGTTGCATAATTTGTTCATTTCCTACAGTATCTCTTGTTCTCAGTAATCATGAAATAAACACTCGCTGACAGATTTATCTTCTTTATGATCCATCTGTCCCTCTAGAGTACAAGGTCTACTTGAGCAAAGATTTCATTTTCATTTATTGCTGTCTTCCCAGCATCTAGAACTAAGCCTAGTTCATAAAAGATTCTCGATAAATATTTGTTGAACAAATGAGCATGAAACAAGAGTCCAAACCCACCCTGCATTCTCCTGTACCTGTGACAGACACAAGGTGTTTCACAGGCACAGTCACCTCTGTCCTCTCTACCCTTGTGCTGAGGCAAAGGTGTCAATTTCATGTTTAGATGCATATGCTGTCTCTAGAACTTAATATTTTCTTCAGCATACTGTTTCTGCAAAATAGAGGTGGTGAGGGGAAAAAAAAGGATGGATTTTAGGAAAGAGGAACATAGCAAGACAGACTTCTTCACTCTGGGTAGAGGTGGCTCACAACTCATGGAATCAGGCCAAGGCACAGACTCCTCTGACCGTGACATTCCATAGCCACTAAATTTGAATTAATGGTAATGACATTGGCTCACTCTGCTAATTACTACCAATAAAAGTATAGAAGCCCTGGAAATCAGTTAACCAGGCTCTTAAACCAAGTATGAAGCTCCTTATACATTATTTGTTTGTGTGACCCTGACCTTTTAGTAAAGAGAAACTGCTATGAAAATATAGAGCAGAAACCACACTTAAACACAAAAAATGTCTCCAAGCTTCTATCTGCCAAGCAAGGCCCAAGATACATTGGGGTTCCCAGGAAATAAAAGCCCAGTTGCCAGGGGTCAACCAGTCCCTCAAGCAGTATGTTTTCTAAATTCCTTGCAGAAAACATTTTTCTTTTGTTTGGTTCTTTTGTTTGTTCGTCTGTTCCTTTGTTTTTGCTTTGTTTTTGAGACAGGGTTCTCAATCTGTTGCCCACGCTGGTCTCCAACTCCTTGGTTCAAGTGATTCTCCTACCTCAACCTCAAGAAGCTGGGACTGTACCAGTGCACGCCATCATACCCAGCGTTTTCCTTAAGGTTTTGGTGTACTCTATGGAAAGTACTGAACTCCGAGAGTTTCCCAGAGATGGCCCCTCCAGCTCTCGACACCCCTGAGATGGCCTGATAACAGGGCCTACCACTAATAATGCTTGTGAAGCACAAATATGAAGTCCTGGGCACCTTTGATTTTTTATTTTAAGTTTTGTTTGTTTGTTTGTTTTTTTACCATGCTGGGAATTGAACTCAGGGCCTTGAGCACGCTGGGCAA